AAATCAAAGAGACGGCAAAACTACTAGGTCACTGTGGAATTAGCATGTTATTGCAGGATTAGTAAAAGTGTGCCTAAGCAAACCTAGACACCATGGTTATATATATTCCACGTTCTACACTAGGGATGATAATTACTCCAGGTTCTACACAACTTATCACGACTAATACTCAAAGTTCAGGCATCCAAGGGTGTCGCATGTGGTCAAAGCGAAATGAGAACCATGAAGTTTCATGTTCAAATCAAAGAGGAGACCGAAACACTAGGTAACCATGGAATTACCAGCTTATTCTGGGATTAGTATAGGTGTGAGCAAGCTACAACCTACCTTAGACACCATGGTTACATATCACATTATACACCATATTATCATGTACATTTTCTTCCATAAACCAGACTACTAACACTCGAAAAGATAATTATACAATCAAAAAAATTTCTAAAACCATTATTACATGAAAGTCAACACTAACGCATACCAGCTCGTAAAAAAACCTGCCTAAGCAAAACAAACTAGTAAAAATCACATCGAACATACAAATAGCTTGAGTATCTTCCCTCAATCATACAGAATAAATATAATCATAGCAAACAAATCGACAGTTCCTATATTCAACACTAAAAATCAGTGGAAATGAGATTAGGGTTTCTTACAAAAGCGAAAAGTATAATAAATCATGTAAAAATACACAGCAAAGGATAAGTAAGAGAGTGAACCTACGAGCTTAAGCTCAGTTTCGCCAGAAAAAGAGACGGAGATGGAAAAACGCTGTGTGTTTTCAACTTTCTACTTTTGGCCGGAGAAGACTGCCGTAATTTGAAAGTAGGGCGGAAATGATCAATAAATAGGGCGGTTAGTGTATGGGCTCAGTGTGACCCGCTAGATAGGAATTGGGCCTGTAGGTTTGAAATCTGGATGGACTAGTAGTATCCTATCAGGCCCAAAATGATTTTTTTTTCTTTTCGAGAAGTTACACATTTAGCCGATTAGTCAAAATTATATTCATATTCGCGCTAACTAAGGGAAAAAGGACAAATATACAATTCAAACTATTGTAAATGGTATGTAAATATCCTTCGTCGTACTTTTCTTACATTGGTGCCCTTGCCGTTCAAAAACGAGAGCATATAAATTAACAGACATGCACGTGTCATAATCTTGTCTACCAATCCGATACTTATTAAATATCAAATCGAGTGATATCATTGTGCCACGTGTCTCTATTTCGTCTTCCGTTAGATTGAAGGCATATATGCTCTAGTTTTTAGACGACGGTCACACCAACGTTCCGAAAATATGACAGAGGGTATATATACCATTTACGATAGTTTGGAGGTATAATTGTCATTTTCCCTCGCTAATATACATGTGTGTGTGTGTTTTTTATACAACTCTAGCTATTTAGGGGGAGGGTATCTTTTTATATTGTGATAGTATGAGGTAACAATATTTTTTAAATAATTTAGAATGTTAAATCTAAACCATATAAATACTTAGTAAAAAAAATTAAAAATTAAAATGGTAACCGGTTATTATCATCAATTAATGTCATTTAATAGTGTAAAAAAAGCTTACACAGTCAGTGAATATTAGTTAAACTCACTGAAAATTAAGATGGTAAAAAACTATTATATATAAGTGTTACTCGAGCATAACTTTTTTTAAAAGATATATCGCTAATGAATATTAGTTAAATTCATTATAAATTATTGAAATTACGTGAATTTTGTAATATTTTAATTTTGGATTTTATGTACACTTGGATGGATCAGATCTTTTTTTAGTTAATTCCTCATGAAATGACATTTGCTAAGTTTACGTAATTGTTTTGGCAAAGTTTGTCACGTCTGTTAATTAATTCTATACACGTCGAGATTGAAAGTGAAAAATCAATTAATCTAGGGAAAATACCCAAATACCCTCTCAAACTATGCCCAAAATCTCAGAGACATACTTATACGATATTAAGGTTCTATTACCCCTGAACTTATTTTATATGTAATTTTCTACCCCTTTTTAGCCTATGTGGCACTAGTTCGAAAAAAAAGTCACGTAAGCTAAAAAGGGGTAAAAAATTATTAATAAAATAAATTCAGGGAGGTAATAGGACCTTAGTATAGTATAAGTGTGTCTCTGAGATTTCGGGCATAAGTTGAGGGGGTACTTGGACATTATCCCATTAATCTACTATATTAAGGCTGAAAAAATGATTTATAACACCAAAGATCTTTTCCACTATTTTTTGTGTATTTATCAATATTCGAAAACTTTTAATCATATTCTATAGATTTTTAGTTCAAATAAATTATATTAAGTTAATATGATACAATAATAAAATAAATTAATAAATGTAGGATAACTAAAAAATAAATAAATAACAATAATACAAAAATTAAAGAATGATACAATACTGATATAATAATTATGAAAAGAGAACTAGGTAGCGCTCGACCTACTAATAACTACTTAATTTTTATCATAAATCTTCGATATCAAATTCTTCTTATCTTCAATAAGTCATATTATATTCTATCATTTTTTTCTAATTGGACATCGATCTATACGTCTTCTCTTCACGTATTTAAATCGTCTCAATTCTAACTCTCTCATTTTTTATCAATAATTTATTCATTCAATCTTATAATTTTATGAAGTAAAAAAAATATATCAGATTTTATAAATAAAATATATAAATATTTCCAAAAAGCCACATTAACAAATTACTTTATCTTCATATTTTTTATATAACTATTTATGATTTTTTATCATTACAAAACTTTTAAATATACATAAATTTATCATATTTATAATTCTTTATCATTACAAACTTTTAAATATACATAAATAAGTTTATCATAGTTTAGGTTTAGAGATAAACAAATTCTAATTATTCATTGCTTGACATGACAATCTAGAAATTATACTAATCCTTTATTCTTTTCTTTTGGGAGTATATATGCTCTTAACTTTTTATACAATTATTGTTTGCTAATCCAATTTAATTAATTTTTTTTGGTCAAATTCAAATTAAAAAACAAAAACAAAAAGGGATTCCACTACTAAATAGGAAAGTTTAGGCAGGGAGAATAATTTTTTTTTTCAAATTCTCCTTTCACTTCAACTAAAAAATAAGATTTTGTTTTACTTATATATGTTAACAATCTTTTTTAAAAAAAATACTTTTTCTTGTACTAGTTTCAATCAAAATTTAGAATTTTAGAAAATTTAATAAAATATATTTCTAATTAACTTTTTCAAAAGAGCATGTCATTGTCATTTCAAAATCAAATAAATATGAAATAAAGAAAGTAAATACATATAAATATAAATTGTGGTGCATATAAAGTTTTTCATTCTTAATCATAGATTTCGAGTTCAAGCTTTAAATAAGAAGAAAATCTTATTGGAAGCGATACACTTGAATGGGGTGCATGAGGGTAAAATTTTTCCGTACCAGGTGTTTACACCAAGTTAATACATGTGTTTAAATTTATAGTTCATTTTACTTTATTAAATCACGTAATAATGAAACTTGCATTGATTTGATGTAAACACCCGATGCAAGTAAAATTTTCTCCGCTTTGCATTATTCGATTTGAAATTAGTCAAAACTCCAATACGACGTTCGGAAAAATCCTACGTGGCAGCCACGGTTTGCTTTTTAAGTCAATGTAAGCATTCCGCGTATGGAACGCGTAACCGCGTTACTCCTCTAATGGAAGAGAGAGAAAAATGGGCCCTTTTTATTCTTTTGTTTTTTTAATTTTTTTTTTTCTAAAAAATAAAAATAAAAATTGATAAGTCATTTTCTATGGAAAAAAAAATATGAAAAGATCTAAAACACACGTGGCATGCAATGAGTGGTTTCATAGATGATATATGGACCTAATGGTTTGCACTATTTTGTTTTCTTTTATGTTTGACTTGCTTCTTAAGTTACTATTTTACCCCTTTCGTATTAGTTTATCGTATAGTTTTTTATTCTTTAATGCATATTTTTACTGGTTACAGTTGCTTTGTATCTTGCTACTTTATCTTCTCTATTTTTTCAATTATGTGTCGATTACTCACTTTTTTAAGTGAAGGGTCTTTTGAAAATAATTTTTTTATCTTACAAAGGTCTTTAATATTTACTGGTTTTGCTCTTTTCAAAACCTACTTGTAAGACTATTTTCAGTATACTGCAACTGTCGTCGTTGATATTAATGTGTTTTTTATTCTTTTTTTCTCGGTGTATGCATAATGCCTCACTGATCTTGATTAACTCCATTAAAACATTCTTTACTAATGACTATTCGATTTCTAACATTTGAATAATGAATTTTTAATCAAAACCGAAGGAGTAGTTACAATTTTAATACAACATTTATCGATTCATCTAATGATAATATTCTTTTATGAAGAGCAGCTCAAATCAATTTGTAAGTACGAACTTAACTGACTTTTACATCTTAAATATTTATATATTTATTTTAGAAAAATATGATGGATTATTTTATTTAGAAAATCGGAAGTCACATTTGATATGATAACTTGATAAGCACAAAAGAGTAGAGAATATTGGAACTAATGAAAAAATATCAAGTTTGTTAAAGAGATACTTATATAAATATAATATAGAATTTTATAATAAATGTATAAGATCAATATAGATTATAATGAAACTGTCTCAACGATATTTCTTTATCTATCTTCAAATGGGATAACAAATGAGATCATTTTTATCTAATCTCATATATATATATATATATTATAAAGTATTTATCGATTCAACATTTATTTTCGTATGATATTATTTAATCTCTATTGAGGGGTAAAGAGGGAAAAACGGACACATCGAAATAAATAAATCAATCACTATCCGTATTATAATGTAAGGAGAGAGAAAACTTTTTTCTATTTTTATTATTTATTCTTCTTTTTTTTAATTCAAATTCATTTATTTTTTTGAAAATTATACTTTAAATTATATTTACAATGAAATGAAATCTGTAGTTTTTGGTATAAAAGCAGCAATCTTCTCATAATTCCAAAATCCAAACAGAGCTGAAGAGATTTTCAAAAAAAACTAAATTGTGTGAAATTCTAGAATCATCTTCTCTGTGATTAGTAGAAGAAGAAAAATGGCGGATCAGCTGACGGATGACCAGATCTCTGAGTTCAAAGAGGCTTTCAGTTTGTTCGACAAGGACGGAGATGGTTTGGCGCCTTTTTTTTTCTCTTTAAATGTGTATATTTTTTTGTGTTTTTGATGCTTATAGGTGTATGTAGAATCTGTTTGTTGTAGATCTGATGTTTGATTTGAAATTTTGAATGAACTGGTTGATTTTGTTTTGGTGACAGGTTGATATTTGAGAATATTCAGTTAGTAAATAGAGGAAAATTGATTTTGTAGCTTGTTGAAACGTTAAATATGAATTAGAAAATATGGAAGCTATGTAGTTTGATGTTACGTTGGTGAATTACTGTTTTTTGCTTATTATTTAAGATTTTTTCCTGTATCCTGTTTTTTTTTTCTTCCTTTTTGGTGAATAGAGTTATTTGATATTCGTATCCGAAGGTTTATCCGTTTAGTTAGGTTGAGAACCACAAAGTATCAAGGTGCTTGGTTGATAGACTTACCTAAAGTGGTTGAGAGAATCGAGGTTCAAATTCCAAGTGATTTCCTTCCATAGAGTTACTTGATACTTGTTGCTGGTAGTTGTGGGAGTTGAGAGGTATTTTATGGAATACGTCCAGATGTGTGTAGGTTGGTTGGGATATCACGGTTATAGAGTTACCCCGTACTTGTGTTGATGGGAGGTAGTGGAATCAGTGAACTTGTAAATTGGATTATACATGGATTGAGAAGTGATAAGTTAATTTGATGAAAAATTTGGCCTGTATAACTCTTAACTGGCTTCGATTTGTGTTAAATGCTAACAAAATCCTCCTTTTTTTGTAAATCTGTAGTAACTTTATCTGAACTCATTGATTGGGACGAACAATTAGATGAATGATTGTTGTCATTAGTTATTAGTGAAATGCATTTTCTGTTTTCTTCTGTGGATAGGAGCTTTACTGATGTTAGGGTCACAACGTGTAGTTTGTTTAGTTTTCGTTCAGTAAGCTAATCGTGAAGCTTTGTATATAGGTTGCATCACGACTAAGGAGCTTGGGACTGTGATGAGGTCGTTGGGACAGAACCCTACTGAAGCTGAGCTCCAGGACATGATAAACGAGGTGGATGCAGATGGTAATGGAACCATCGACTTCCCAGAGTTTCTAAACCTTATGGCCAGGAAGATGAAGGATACTGACTCTGAGGAGGAGTTGAAAGAGGCATTCAGAGTTTTCGACAAGGATCAAAATGGCTTCATCTCCGCTGCTGAGCTTCGTCATGTGATGACTAACCTTGGAGAGAAGCTTACTGATGAAGAAGTCGATGAGATGATTAGGGAAGCTGATGTTGATGGTGATGGACAAATCAACTATGAGGAGTTTGTTAAGGTCATGATGGCCAAGTAATTCCATTATCCTCTTGTTACATTTGAAGTTTAGACTTGTCAAAAATGTGAAAAAATCCAAAAATAATTCATTGGGTAGGCTCTTGTCTAGTATAATGTTAGTCTTACCATCTCGATGTATTGAACCTTCATTGAATGTAATGTTTTATTGTATGAGTGGTGTGATCTCTACTTATTTTCTTTAAGTTTGTGTACTTTCTTTGATCCTCTTAGAGCCTGTTTGGCTCAGCTTAAAAACTGGTCAAACTGACTTAAAAAGCTGGTTTTTGACTTATTTAGCTGTTTGACAATACTCAAAATAACTTATTTTAAGTTAAAAAAAACTTATTTTAAACCAAAAGTTAAAAGCTGGGGTAGGGATGTTTTTTTTTTTAGCTTATAAGCTGTTTTTAATTGACCACATTTTTATCTTTTTGCTCTTAATATTTTTATACAATCTCCAAATTACCCACATATAACCCTAACATTTCTTTCTTCCATTTTTTCCTTTTCACGTTTGACATAACAACTTCAGCACTTTTATCCAAACGCATAACTGCTTTCAAAAGTACTTTTTTAAAGCTGTTTTTATTAAGCCTATCCAAACGGGCCCTTAGTCAATGAATGCAATTCGTCATCGTGTATTGACTAGCTTAGTACACAAAGTAGTAAAATGCAGTTTAACTTTACTGTTGTTTTAAGGTTCTGTTGGTATCAACCGTTACAACGTTTAATAACATATCCATTTATACAAAGGACTATGTATATTGCACATTAGAGACTGATGATTGATCATATAAAAAAACAAGAAAGAAAACAACTGAAATTATCAATTTCATTTATCAGGGCACAATACAAATTTAATTCTGCAGGATTGATTCTCCCATCTATCAAACAAAAGCAATAAAGAACAAAGGATTTTAGTCATATTATCCATTCAAAAACAAGTTTATAATCTCTTCAAGCTTTTCTTTCTCGCGTCGATCTTCTTTTTGTCTGCAGGGAGTTTCGCCAATCCAGTTTCCTTCTTCATAGTCAGTGATGGTGGTGCTGCTGACCCACTAACCGCTGTATCCGCAGTTAGTGGCTGGTCAAGATTGTTTCCTCCTTTTACAATGTTAGCTGTAGGGGACAACGGAGAAGGCTGTTGGAGAGGTGCGACTCCAGATACCACAGTCTTCTGATCAACGTTACACAGTGAAGTATGTGTCTGGCCAACATTTAGGGCTGTCGTTGATTCGGAAATAGCTCCTGTTTTTAACTTAGTCTTTGGTTTAGCATGAATACTGGTATAAAGCCTGCATGTTTAAACACCGAGGGAGCATTAGACGGACAGGTCAGGAAGTGCATTCAAAGTGCTAAACAATACTTGAAACTACAAAGGTAGCCTATTTTTTCATCTATTAAGAGTGGATGACGCAGGCATAAGTTGAACCTTCGACCACATAAACTATGCTAGTCAGCCAGAGTGGCTTAAGTCTGTATTAAAACGTAGTCATTGGATTTACGAGCAGGAATTCCAGGTTTTTACATCTACAAAGAGGAAATGAGCATGAGTCGGTTCACTTGGATCTTCTCGTTTTGGTTAATACTAGATAGATGTATGATCGTCTACCAATTTGATTTCTATTGCAACCCTTCTAAAATGTACTGTAGCATTTACACTTAATGCACAAAAACATGTTTTCACCATAAATATAAAGACAGTTATATGTAGGATAATCAAGCAAAACAGTACCAAACAAATGCAACAAAACTCAGGCATGGTGATGCCAAATAATTATCGAGGTGGCATAAAGTGAAGCTAGTCGGGCTAACTCACCTTGCATGTCTAGCATACTCATCATAATTATCAAGAAGCATCTTGCCAGCTTGCTCATTTAGCGCAGATTCTGGAAATGGCTCGATTAGTAAACATCTTACCACCTGTTACAAAACCATCAAGGAAAGGATAATGTCAATTCAAACTTGTATCTCCGTATCTCCAGAGGTGACTCAATTTTTACTTGAAAGAAAACAGAAATTTACCATGAGAACATGTCGTAGGCCCAAACTAGGACTCCAATCTTTTTTCAAAGCATTTACACAAATCTCGCCATTGGAAGCAATGTTGGGATGAAAAATCTTGGTCAGAAAATAACCTAGAAAAAAAACAAAAATGTAAATTATGCACTCAGCCGTAATTGCTTAGCAATTGGCATTGAGAGATCTCCCAGAGATGCCGAAAGTTGCAACGCTTCAAGTGGTAACTGCTCTTAAACTTTTCCATGAGAATTGACTAAGGAATTGCAGCTTATCCCAGAGAGCAATATGCTCACAAAGATAATGTCAAGAAATTTATAGAATTTAATCAACAGCTGGAGAGTTCATGTAGAACCAAGGTATCCCAGAAAGTAAAGTTACTTGACCTATTTTAATGAGTAGAAAGTGAAAAAAAGTTCCTACAACGAAATAAACGGGGAAAATTCAACTTAGGCTCTTGAATCGTGATCAATACAGAACCAACTGATTGAAACATAAAAAAAAACCCGATACAAGGACTACAAAACACGTTACACTGGTAAAACTTGAAAACATTGCAATGTTGAGACAAACCTTTGGGTGGGGAATGAGGGAAATCATGTGTCAAAATCAACTTCATGCGGAATACCCCATTCTCATAAGGAGTCCCAGCTGCAAGGTAGATGAGGAGAAATTAGAACAAGTGTCATGTCTCAAGAACTGAAATATATACAACAAACACAACATACCTGGACCCTCAATATCAGCAAATATGGTTGAAAAATCATCATCATTTACACCTACTTTGATGCCCTCAGGAGGGGAATCATCAAGATTTTTCAATTCCTTCGCCAATTGTTTTATCACGTTTGGTGGCAGATTTTCATTAGTTGCCTATGCCAAAAAAAAACAACCAAATTTTGGACAAAATCAATTGACAAATGACAAATAAGCATACCAAATTACTTATCACAAGATAAGGAAACAGAAAAAAAGAAGTAATTCATTTGGATCCAGGAAGAAAATGACATAGAGAAACCTAGTAATAGCAACACTTTGAATTCAATGAAATACCATAGCCAAATATAAGTTGATGTCCTAGGAGCAGTTGGCAACTTTGCTGATGAGTTATCAGTGAAGCACGTACTTTTAGCTGGTAGTTATATGTTGATAAAATCAAGCTTCTGAAAGAATCCTGCTAAAGGGCCAGAAAAAGATCATCAGAATACAATCCTTCAATTGTCCAATCAATCACAAGAAACAGGCAAGTAAAGAAGGCCATCTTCAAGAAAATTGTGTCAATCCACCAGATGTGGATAATATGTCAGAGAATCACAAAATTGTCAATACAAGTACAAGTCCATAGACTCCTCTTCTCCATATTAGTCCATACAATAAGCCAAATGTCTAAGCAAGTCTCTGATACTCACATACAGCTCTACTTTTCTGAACTTACACTAACTACTTGGTGCATATTTACCCTCACAGGGTAGGGGTAAGGCTGCGTACACACCACCCTCCCTCGTTCCCAGTTGTGTCAACCTAATTGGTAGCACTAGGGCATGGTTTTTTGGTTAACAAGCTCCAAAGAATGCAACTCTTGATTTTTAATACTGTTCCACTACATAAATAAAATTCCCTTCATAATCGGACATCAAAATCATGAAATATGGTAGCTTGACTAGTTTCAGTGTTAAGTCAAACGTAAAGACATCACGCAGTGATACTTATAAGAGAAATGTTAGATGCCAAAGTATCTACATCCTCACTTCGTAAAAGAGTGGTCTAAAACTACTTGATCTCAAACATCAACAGAAACAATGGTAGTTCTGAAGCTAACAGTGCTACAAAGAATGATTAGTCGAAGAATATGAGCGCCCAGACAAAAGATTAGTCAAGTGGACCATTGATATCTAGAATGGAAAAAATCATAGTCGATCACATATTCCCCAATCTGGTAAATTCCAAAGTGGATATTGTTAAACACTAAAGCTCACTTTGGTACTTCAACTTAGTACACAAGAATCACCAGTATGGTAATCAGAGACTGACAGAACTAACAAAATTATTAGGATTTTTGCTGCCTGACCCTTAAAACAATAGACATCCCTTAAACAGCAGGAACACACCAGTTCATATAATCTCCCTCAAAGAAGGTGCTCCAGTTAAATAACTATCACAAACATTAAGATTACAAGAATGATTACTTCAAATGAGCAAACAACATAATAGCAGACATTAAGAGAACTAACAGCACATCCAGAGAAAGATAAGATTGGGATCCTAAGCCAATAGTTGGACACCATGGAACCGGTAATCAAAAGGAGCAATTTTGAGCTGAAAAACCCATCAAAATTAACCAGTGCCAAAATCATGTATGCACAAGGTTGTCTAACCACGTTGACACTAATCCACCAACCTTTCTCAAAATTCAACTCCAAATATAATACTTCATAAAACAAACTAAAACCCTAGAAATAAGACATTTCAAATGCTTACTGGTGTGGGTGATTGAAGACTCAAAAGGATCTTGCACTTTGGTGATTTCATTAAAGGGGGATAAAAACACAAAAATTGCTCATCACAACCAAAGTCAAGACTTGAAACAGACACTTATCTGTAACCACTTTAAAATCAAATTCAAAATCGAACACCCAATCTTCCTATTTACACATATCACAATGCAGCAAAATAAACATTGAAGAATCAGTAAAACACACACAACACAAACACAAACACAAACACAATTGGAATCTTCACCAACTGAAAACCTAATCAGACAAGCAAAGAGATCCTAAACCTGAACAATCAAAACTCAAAACACAAAATCCAACCATGAAAGCAATCAACTTTTACACACAACCCTTTTACAATTAACATCAAATGAAGCACCGATCTGAATCAAAACTCCACGAAATCACAACCCCATTTCTAAAAATCAAATCTTTATTACTCCCAAGTCAAGAAATCAGGCACCCACAATCAAGATTGATGAAAAACAGCCATCTAGATAGTGCTGGAAACAAAATTCAAGAAATTTAAAGGAACCCCAGATGGCAAAAACTCACCTTTAAGCCTCTAGAGAGAGAAAAACGAAAGGAACAGCAGTGGGTAAAGTGGATTAGAGGAGTAAGGCGTCTATTTGCTTTCCCTTTCTCTAACTTGGAACAACACCCACAAAAAATCCAGAAAGTGATGCCTTTTTAATATATCATTTCATGAATTTTGGATTACAGAGACATTGATTGATGTATATGTATGTATACGTTACACACCAACAAAGTCCAGAGAGGAAAGTACAGAATATAAGAAAGAAATAATGAGAAAAAACATTTGTCTATACATTTAATTTTCGAAAAAAATTAACCTAAATAACACCTCACTCAAAATCGTCGGGCTATTCGTGTAAAGATCTCTTTTTGTTTTAAGAGGATATAAACTCGTGAATGAAGGTGGAAAAACATCATTTAAGTTTGACCTAAAAGTATCGTCTTAACTTGAATTTGCTGAAAGAAATACAACGGAAGAAGATAAAAATATATAATTTGAGGTTTTATTATCGTTCTCAATGGTTTTACTACGATGAGGAAAACATTCATAGAGTTCGATACAGTGAAACTGAGTTTTGATCTAGTTTCATAGATAAGTTAGGTTTCACATGATGTTCATAGTTTTAAATTTATACGTGAATCAGAAATAATGTGTAAAATGTAAATAATTTATGTAACTTCGACATCTCTTGGCCAAAGAAACCGCAAGATGAAAATCTTAGTAGAGAGAAGTAGAAATATAAAGTAGCGAGAACTGAGGGGGAAAATTCATTCTTTTACTGCATTTTCTTGTTTGGGGATTCAAATTTATAGAGCTCAACCAGCTTCCTGAATAAGTTATGTTTTACGTGATGTTTGACTAGATTTATAGTTTTTAAAAATTTATAATTGAATCGACATACAATATCTATAATGAAATTAATCTATATAACTTATGACATCTCTTGGTCAAGAAAATCTCACGATGACAAAATCTTAATAGAGTGAATATGGATATGAAATAGCAGAAATAACGAGCAAAAGACAACGAAGGTTGACAATAAAAACGTAAGATAGAATCTTCAATCCTTTAAAAAACGTAATTATCATAATTCGATATGAAAATAAACTATCACATTAATTGCTAATAATCCTTTTATAACTACCCTTGATTATACTGAATTTTAAGTTAAAATTTTAACAAATAAATTGAAAATCAATAGCAATTATTTGTCAATTCAATAAGGATATCTAAAATAGTTGGTATGGTCATTATGTCACAATCTATTTGACAAAAGTGCCTCAATGTTCCAATTGTAGGTCCATCTATATGAACAAATAATTGGGTAGCTTGTATTTAAATTATTTTTTTTTGCTAAAAATATCTCTCAATATATTTTTATAACAATTTAATTCAATATGAAAAAGATGTAATTGAATGTCTAACTTATACACGATTGACGAGACTTATAATTTTTATAAATTTAGAATATATTAAATAATGTTCAGATCAACTTATATATACATTGACTAATACAATAATAATTCAGTTATCAAGCTTATATAACATCAACAATATCACCAAATTCAAATAACATATTTAATTTTAAATATATAAAAACAGATATAGTTAAGTTCATTAAATTAAAAAATAATTAATTCCAATTAACTATGATAGGAAAAGTTTTACAATCATTGAGAAAGAGAACTAATGTCTAATTAATTAATCAATAATAAGGATAAGGATGTAATATTAATTAAGTCCTTTGGTAGTTGACTCATACAAAAAGCTAGCTGGTTAAATTCCATAAAAAAAAATAAAAATTAGAGATTATATTTATTTGAATTAAATATTATAATAATTATACTATCATCCGTTTTGTTCGTCTTACCTACCGTTTAGATAATTAAATATATTTTTTTCAAATAATATTTAGATATTTTGAATTTTATATATTTGTTATACACTTTTTAATATGTATACTTTATTTTCAAACGTTGTACTCGAATTTACATCGAACGTATTTAATTTATTTTTGTAATCTGAATCGAGTCAAATAAAGAAAAATAAATAAAGAATAATTTAATATTATAAAATAAAGTAGGTATTTATTTAATATATTAAATTAATGAATTAAAGGGGCCATACTATAAATACTGTTTAGAAATTCAAATTTTGCCGACACTTTTGGGCTATTTATTGACCGTTGGAAAGTCCAATTCAAAAACTAGCCGTTGCCCTCTGCCAGCATTATATTATTATTTTGCATTTAAAAAAAAATAAAAAAATCAAAAATTTTATGAGGAAACGTTAAATGATTATCGAAAGTTTTTTTTTTGAGTAAACTGAAATTGTATGAGAAAACGATTAGATTATTGTCTAAATTTTTGTAAATAGTAGTGCAGAACAATCTAATGTATTGTTTGAAAGAATGAGTAATGTATAAAGAAAACGACACATGATAAGTAGTGTCACCCGAAAGGGTAATTACTCCAATGTTATATTTGTACGAATTTAGATGATAGAAACGAAATCTAAGTGGTGGTGTTGATAAAAAGGTTTATCAGGCGTTGAAATATGTATGTGGTCGGATTGTATTATGTATTTAGTTGTTTTCTGTTGAGGGTTTGTGACGATGATTTCTCTATTTCTATGAGGTGAGGATAAGACTGGTGTATATAAATCCTCTCCAAATTTCATCAATGTGATTTCGCTGATTAGTTAAGGTCTTTTAGAATTATATATATATTTTTTTGAAGTGTGGTGGTCAAATTGAAAATACTATGTATTCTTGATTAAAAGTTTTGAATTTGAGCCTTGAAATAAAATCACCTTTGATAAGACGTATTTTATCCCCAAAATAGGTCTTCCGAATACGAATATGAATACAAGGACTTTAAAGTGAATAACGAATACCGAATAAAAAGAATAGAAAAATAATTATAATTCTGTTAGAGATCTAATTTGCCCTTATACTATATGAAATTGAACAAATATGCCACGTGTTATACAATAGGTATGACCTCGCTCAGGGTCGTGACAATTAGGAGCTCCAACTTGAAGTATAACTAACTAGAGATAATTTATATTAAGTTCAGAAGTAAGAAAGTAAATTTGATTTTTTTACTCGAATCATCTCATACATGGAGTTAGCCATTTCATATTAAAACTTCATTAATATCGTGATAAATACAAAACGATTTGCTAATAATAAGATTAAAAATTAACCAAAAGCATATCTAATTGTTCCTTTTGAATGGTGTAAGCATATATTAGGACTTCTTCAATAAAATAAAATAAAATTTTAAAAAGGAAAAGTTTATAAAATTAATTTGAAGCATCTAATCTCTTCCAAATAAATATTAGGATTTTGTTAGTTGTTAAAGAGACAATGTGACAAGAGCTTTATTTCATTTCAACTATTAATGGCATCATTTGCTTAAAAAAAAATTAAAAACAGAAAGTAGGTTGATTAGGGAAATAATAAGGCATTAATTTTTAATTACCATTAATCTGCATAGAGATTCCATGTTTCAAATATATTTAAATAACCATCAAACTTTTGCATCCATATTTGGTTTCTATTTCAAATTCAAGTGCACTCATAATTATAAAGATTAATTAAATTAGACTATTATTTGCTTATACTATTCGATATTTACGTTAAATTATAATCTTAACAATTTTAAAATTAAAGAGAATATACTTCACTTAATTATGACTAAATGATAAACATGTGTTGTGAGATATACTTGAATTTGTTGGTTTGATTTAAATACTTTTTTTAAAGAATAAATAAAAGAAATTAGTGACATCAAATAACCTGGTAAAATAAATTTAGATAGGAGTAAAATTGATGTCACATTTCTTGTTGCTTATATATAAGCTTCAACAAGAAAAGGTACAATCTATCCAATAATTGGTTTTTCTTTAACAAAATCATTAAAGTCAGGATAAAATCATACACGATTAATAATATAAATTATCGAGTTTATTACAATGGACACCCAATAGGACAACAATAACATTACGATCACTACTTTCAATTATGGTTACCATAAACTGAGTCAAACTATAAAGGGTATTAACAGTAAAAATATTTTTGAGTCAAACTATACATGAATGACATTTTTGTTCCTTTCACATAGTTTAAGAACATTTTTTACTCTTTTCCCTTATAATAATATTGGTTGTTCGAATTCTTTTGTATTGAGTCAAAAAACTATTTTTCAACGAACCTTTTAAAGTAATATACCATTAGTTTCAAAGTAAAGATTATATTTTTGGCTAAATGATAATTGTATTGTGAAAATTTATTGGTTTGATCTAAATACCGATTAGGCGATAAATTCTAACCCCTTATATATCAACAATAACAATTATTACACCTCAATCTCAAACAAGTTAAGATTAACTCTATGAATCATCCTTTCAACATTTAAGCTCATATCATATCATCGTCGTCATTATAATAAACAAAATAATTTGGTAAAATCAATTTCTATAAGCTCACAGCTTGTAAGAGATTGCATCAAACAAAGTACTCAAATTCTTAAAATTTCATAAAGAGATCAATTGAAAAATTGAGGATGGGAAGTACAAAGAGCTAAATTTGTAAAGTTGAAACCATAAATAGAGAAAACTCTTTTCTTCTTGTCCTCCAGTTCACTTTGTAGCTTGTTGCTAATCCTTATAATAAAAAATAAATAAAATAAACTTCAGTTGAACACTGATTTTACCCCACTTTGTTGCTAATGGTTTGATAAAGAGACTGAAATTGTGTGTTCCATTTATCAATAGCTGTATACTTCTTCATCCCCTTTGACCTGAAATAGCAAATATCCAAGGAAGTTCAATATATTAGAGAAGGAAAGAAAAAGGGGAACACGCGGTTTAAGTTATATACACTGGCAGTGGTTTAACGTGGGATAAGTAAGTTTAGTACAATCTTTTGCTAGGTTATTGATTGATGGTTATCAGAGAGATTTATATGTAACTACATTTCGTGTGATGTGATGTGATGTGCATAGAACTTAAACTCAACGAGAGGAAAAAAGACAGTGGATGAACCTGTCGCAATGCTCCAACAATTTGTTTACTTGGTCAATATGACCTTGTATCCGGTTATCCAATATCAGTGACACCAATAACGTTTCCACTTCACCTTCCGGTACGTTAATCTCCTGAATGTAGATGAACATGGCAAATTTCAGTTCAACAGAGGAGTTCTCGGATACATATGAGCAGTAACACACGAATAAAGAATCGACTACACAAATGGGAGGGGGGGAACGGAAGCTGGATAGAAAAAGGCATGAGGATTACTCGTACCTTCGATATAAAAGGAATCCTGATCCGTGTGTATGGTTTAATGAGTTTCAGCAACACTTGAGTCCTTATATTCTTCAACAAGTCCTCGATATAATTTCTAATGAATGGATCATCCATGATAGTTTTTCTATTGCTCTGCAAAAATCCAAATTTTTAGATCTGTTTTTCTTTCTAGACTAGATGTGATAACTAATTAAAGGGCCCTAATCCTCACCTTAAGGATTTTCTCAAACTCCAATATCTCATTTCGTTGATATGCAGCAATCAAATTAGTCATGGCCAAGATTTCTGGGTCATTTTTGTACCTGGAATACGCTCTTGCAAAGTCAGAATATGATACAAAATAAGGATAATAAACTACATGCTGAATGGAGGTTTACATACGGTTTTGCCTCCTGCCCATCAAACGGATTAACTTGTGATTCCATAAGCATGTTGGCCAGCACTAAGTATCTGCAATGTTTTTTTTAAAAAAAATTTGAGCTCACACAACTTTTGAAGGTGGTGAAAAAAAACTTCTGACTGTAAAAATGCTGAAATCTCAGAGCAAAATCATATCCTAAAACTTAGGTGGTGCAAGCTCTCTTTTAAACTTTTTAAGACGATAAATATTGAAATTCCTAGAGAGGCCTTAAAACTATTGGGCGCACCCTGAAAATTGAAGCTCCGACAGATTTTTACATGTTCAAGAGCTAATTTTCACTAGCAAATTGAATAAACCCATGATTGCATTAGTGATGAGCACTTCTAGTGATGCTCAAACTAGTAGTTTCTATCTCATACTTGTATAATTCACCACTTTAGTATAACTGAAGTTCTTATTGCCTATTAGTTATTCAACCAATTAACAAATATAATTTATTGCAGAAGCTCTAGTCACCCCATGGAGAGGTCTTCCTGAAACAGAATAAGAGAAACAACTATAAAGCAACTTTTAACTTACTTCAGGCACTGTATGCGCCGTTGATTACCAGCTTCATCGTAATTCTTAAAAGCTTCAAAGAAGTCAGTCGCTGCCTCTGCCCACTGTCTTTGTGCCATATGCATTTTCCCACCACACTCACGGATTATTCCCATTATTCTAGGATGGGGGATAGCTGATTTGATTGTAAGAGCCTTCCCATACAATTCCTATCATTAAGCATTTTACCAGACATGTCAAAGGAAATTAAACCTAAGAGCCACTACTTGTAAAAAATACTTTACAAAAAAGAAGAAGCTAAACAATAGAGCATAAATGGATAAAAATATACTTAAAGCTCTTGGAAACAAATGTTTAAGTATCTCCAACAATATTAATATAATCACCAGCACAAAGTGCAATGTAATCGCACAAGTAGGATTTGGAGAAGGTAGAGTGTATGCAGACCTTACCCCTACATTGTGTAGGTAGAGAGGCTATTTTATTAGACCTCAGCTCAAGGCAAGCATTTGTGTAGGTAGAGAGGCTGTTTTATTAGACCCTCAGCTCAAGGCAAGCATTTGAGTAGGTAGAGAGGCTGTTTTTATTAGACCTCAGCTCAAGGCAAGCATTTGTGTAGGTGGAGAGGCTGTTTTAATTAGACCCTCGGCTCAAGGCAAGCACACATAGCATATATGCAAACATAATTAAGTAATTTAATAATGTATATTAGCTATGACAGCCTGTGCTGACATTTTAGTTTCAGAATAATTTTGTCATGTGCTGAAACATTTTAAAATAATACTTTAAAAATCAGAATTGTAAAAATCATGTGTTTTACAAGAATATCATGATACATGTTGGATATTCAGTATTGTAAGATATCAATGGATCCACAGAATCAATAGGTACAACCACAAGATACCTATGGTTAATGATTCTAATGATATCATAGTGTACCTATCACCTATAGAAAAAATATTGCTTTGGATAAAGCAGTTGGCAAGAGATACTAAAAAAAACCACCAATTTAATCACGTAGATTAATTAAAGACAAGAGATGAAGCTAAAGGATCTCTTATTGGTTGGACTAAAGGTTACAAAGGAAAGAGGTTAACCCACTTTACAATGTAAAGTTATCAGATAAAGTCCAACTCCCGACATCCCCACACCCCCATCCCCCAAAAAAACAACTTAAGCACTTAAAATCCTAGACACCTATTGATTGTTTGATCAATAGTAGCACTAGTAAGAATCAAATAGTAGTGTTTGCTCTAAAGATTCTGATAAGTGGTTGGAAGTTCGTGAAACCAGAAATTGCTAAAGATGGAAAGTAACTTGACATACACATACTAAATTATGTCAAAGATAGGGTTTCCTCAAATATAAGATTTCGTGGGAAAAAAAGAGATACCTATATTATATCTATTATTATCAAAGGCCACACAATATATTAGTTTGAGTACCACCACATATGGCTGAACTGTTCTGCAAAAGTATACACACTTCAAATCCTAGAGTACAGATATGAAGTGATATAATAGTCTTCAGCATTTAGAAGAAGAAAATGTGCTTTTACAAAATTTAATGACAACCAAGTCATCTGTATGTGAAAAGCACTTCAAACAAGTTGCTACAGTTATGTTCATCTAGAATCTTCAATTATACAAATGGCATATTAATTTGTAAGTTATGATATGTTTGTGAAAAATTCAATAGATATCTCCCTCGAATTATCAAATAAAAGTGAATAGGAACTGGAGTTACTCAAAGTGACTTACCTTCAGCTTTTTGTTGTTCTTTGTCTCAGTGTACATTTGAATTTCAATAGCATAAACCTCCAAGAGCTGAGTCCCTTTCTTTTGATCATCGGTACCATCAGCTTTTTGACAAGATCTGTGAAGCTCCTTCATAATCTTCCGTGAATAAAATAAAAGGAATCATAGAAAAGAGTCAACCATGATAGCTTTGTAATATGTGAAAAACTAAGGATGCATATACAAACACACCATACCTTGTTCATTTTACCATACTCACCCATGTCAAACCAGATCTTGCAAAGCTTAAGATTTGTCTTAAACCACAATCGCTGCATATTAATAATTATTTCTTTAGCAAAACATCCATGAATAGCAAACCAACCTTCACCCTGGAAAGGGAGCAGATATATGTTGTAAACAAATAATGTCTTATCTTACTTCATTTTTAGCCTCTTCAAGGGCTTTCAGTGTGGTTTCGTAGAACTCCCTCAACAACCCAACATTCTGACTAGCTGAGCCAGAGACAAAATCCATTATGTTGTTGATGCACTTCTCGCTGTAATTTCGCGTTACCGCTGATATAATATAAGTAAGCATTTCTCTGTAAGAGTCCATCATCTGCTTAAACCTCCCTAAACGATAATAAATTTTGACTGTCTGCTTAAGAGCTTTAAAACCCCTAATCAAGACACAAGAAGGAAGATCATAAGCCATGAACCAATTGAAATCATAGTGTAAAAGCAGTTCAATGTTGAAATTGGGACTGATAAAGATAATGCAATATCCTAAAAACAAATTCAAATTAAAGAAGAGAAATACACTGATACTAATCAAATGGAATATATGCCAAAAAAGGAGCCAAGACCTAGAAGATTGTTAGCAAAAATGCTATGTCGTGTCTTACAACTCACTACAAACATCGCCATATTATGTTTCAAACCATACGCTTTGGTAAGAATGGACCTTAGGTCTAAGTCAATTTTAGAAGCTAGCTCATGAGTTGAGAAACACCCTAGAATATATAAGAAGACCAGATACCCACCCCAAAAACAACGTGAGAAATCAACACTCCCGCACACCCAGGTTTAGACATCTGAAGCATGGACATTATAAGATGGGGCCATGGACAACCAATGAATTGGGATGGGACAAACTTCGATATCATGATAAGAAAATGGACCTTGGGTCTCTCCATCAACCCCAAAGCTAGCTGCTAAGGTGAGGATTGCCTTAAGACTAAAAGGAGACTAGATACCCATCCCACAACCAATGTGGGACTCAACAAGCTTAGTATAGTTTATCCAAAAGATATTAAAATCATATCACATAGGAACACATAAAATGTTTTACTAGATTCAAACTCCCTTTTCTAGCTGATTTGATATGATAAGGCTCGAGTTACTAAAAGACGCGGAAGACATCATGACATAATTATATAAACGTTACTCGATGCATCCTCTATTTGACTACTTCATAAAATAGTAGATATCTAAAGTAAATCCACAAAATTGAAGATAGGAAAATGGGTAGCATGGAAGAGATCTAATAAGTAATTAAAAGTTGTTAAAAGGACTACCAAATCCTTTTCGTTGCACCATTAATAGGTAGTTCTCTAACAACTTTATTTACAAGGTCAACAGTCAACTAATAAGAGGATTTATGTCAGTTGACTCTATCAACCTACAAAGTTGACTGTTGTTTCAGCACTTTATTCAGTACTCAAGTCCTTTGTTTACTTGGTTACTTTCAGTTAGAATATTATCTAAGGCAGTTTCTTTTTGGCCTCTTAGGCTTTTCGTTTTGCATCTGATAGTTGTTTTGGCATGTAGCATCCCACTATAAATAGCTTGGGCAGCAAGCGTTAGAGAAACTATCACAACCCAACAAGTTTCGATGTCCAGCCAGTGAGCTCAGTTCAAAAGCATGATTTTTCTTGGGGCTCAAATGTTAAGTAGTCAATGGGTTAGATAGGCCTACAAACTTTTCCATCTATTAAACAGATTTTGTATGTAGCATAGTTTATGTATGGGAAACCAACCAACAACACCGATTTCTAAAAGAAAATTAGTACGACCATTGGAATGAACTTTATACTCATAGGCTGTAAATTACCATTCTGCCTTCTCAGGTTCCATTCGTACCACCTCTGCGAATCCCTCAAGTGCACCCTCTGGATCCGTTTCAACCATACCTGGAAATCAGGGCAATAGAGAAGAAGCTCTAAATTTAGAAAGCAGGAACGAATCTACAATCAATGTAATATATGTCGTACTAAAAATGACAAAATAATGTATCACATAAAGAAAAGTTTCAATTTACATAATCAGAAGTGGATACTGAGTTAGCCAGCACATACATGACACAACTGTGCCCCAATCACACGTATAGTAATGACAATTTCATCCTCGTTATGACTTATGATGTTATCTGTAGAACTCAGTTTCTTCACCGAAGTTCTAAAAAACATTTGTTGAATTCTTCACCGAAGTTCTAAAAAAACATTTGTTGATGAAATTCATTTCAAACCTCTGCTGGAATCAAGAGAAATCAAGGGAATGGAAAGTTGCATAATTTTCCTTTTTAAGCAATAGATTTGCAAGGAGAAAGAGGAAATAATGTAGAGGAATCCAATATTTGTTGGACCAACTTCTTTAATTGAATAAAAAGAGTTAAAGTTAAAATCTCATAAAAAGCAAACTCAAGTTACTTCACGACCCAGAGATTAAGGAGGCTTCTCAAAAGTTTAAGGGAATGATCAAGTCAAGAGAAACATTAAAAATATTGTGCAGGAAAGTCTTAACGACTATAACGCAACTATTTGGAATCCCAAGAATTAGAAAACTTCCATTTACATGTAGCTTAAACTCCTTTATAAGAAGGCCTTGTACATGTTATTAACCACTCAATTCAATTAGAAGTTCTCTCCTTTTCTTCTTGTTTTTTTATATAGCAAAATTGTTAAGTAGAGAAACTAAGAAAAAAGTTGATAGGAAGTGACCTACCCACTTCTATAGTTGAGCACCGATGGAGTGAATAAATTTAGGAAGTAAAAATAATTTCATTTGGAAAGATGGAATGTAATGGTGTTAAGTAAGTACAGAGTAGTATGATTCCGTTAAAAAGTTAAGATAGATTGTATTTCAGATTTTTCATTTTGGTATAAAGAAGTTTGGGTAGATTATACTGAAACAGTCTCACAGTTTTTGGATCTCTATTTATGTGTTACAAAATGATGCCTAGTTTTGTGTAAATACTGCTTCCATATTGTTACCTTTATCAAAAATAAAAAAGGAGAAGTAAGAATGGAGTAGCAATGGGGTCGGAAAACAGTAAACCCTTGTGACACTTCATTTGTTTAAATGACTATGGAGATAAAGCATTGATGAGGACAGGTGATAAAGGAAAAGTATGAGGAAAAAGATTTTTCAGTACAAGAACAGTAAATACTATCCAAGTATCTATGGTCCAGGACAACCTAATTGAATCTAAGTAAAAGCTAACCAAATTAAAAGTTAAACAATTAATGGAGAGACACTCATGTGTTCTGATTCAACTTTAAGCTATCTATTTCACATGTACCCTGTTTTCACAACACTATCACTAGTGGACAGGGGCGAAGCCAGGTGGGGTCAAGGGCGGTGAAAAACTATATTGTATATGGTTAAAATTATATTTCATGTATATATACTAGATGTTGGATAATGTATTTACTTATGTGTTTCTGAACACCCTTAGTGAAAATCTTGCTACGGCATTGATATTAGCCTCCGAATTTCTTAAGATGGATAACCAGACAGTAACTCAATCAACAACATTAGCTTGTGAATTATAGATAGACCATTGATCATCATCAACATCAACAACAACAACAACAACATACTCAGTGGAATCCACAAGTGAGGTCTAGGTAGGGTAGGACGTAAGCAGACCTTACCCCTATCTCCCTACCTTTGTGAGGGTAGAGGGGTTATTTCCTATAGACCATTGATCAATGTTTCAAAACAACAGATCACCCATCAAATTAGACCAGAAAACCAAACTAATGTGGGATGTTTTTAGCTGATAAATTTCGAAATTACCTTTTGAATTATAATACTGATTCTCAATATCAACATCCTGCTCCTCCTGATCCTCGTCAGAATACTCAAATCCGTAATCCTCCATATCAGCATCTAACACATACAAATAATATCAGTATATACGTAAAGAAAACCAAAACCCATGTCTCAAAATTTCATCTTTTTTCTATATATACACCAAAAAATTTACTTTTTTCATAAAAGAAACTGATCAAAATTTGCAGAAATTTGGGTAATATAACGTAAAAAACTCCAATCAAATTAAAACTTTTCAATGTAGAATTGAAATTCTGACCTGAACCCATGTTTCGTAGAAGAAGTACAGAGCCCTTTGATTTGCTTCGTTAGGGATTCGTTTATCACTGTGAGAGAATCCGAGTGAATGAAGCTTCGGGGGATTTTGTGTTCCTTTATATTACTTCTTCTTTCTTTTTTTTTGCCCAAAGGCTATATATAGTACTAATTTTTTTATATAAAAAATAATAATTTTTTTTATTTAAGTTGCACTTTGATATTTATATTGGATTAGTAATATTTTGATCTAAAAAAATAAATTATAATTATGATAGTGTAATTGAAAATATAAAATATTGAGACTTGAATACAAAGATAATTATCGAAAGAGGGTAGTATAAGTAATTGTTAACACATGAAAATATTGAATAATTGTAATAATTATCGACGTCGTTGTTATTATTATTATTATAGAAAGATGATAGCAATAGATAATAGAAGTAATAATTACCGACGTCGTTATTATTATTATTATTATTATTACAGAACGATTATAGCAATAGACAATAGGAGCAGTAATAACAATTGTTGCCAAAGCTAGACTGAGAGGGTGATGGAAGAGATGACGGAGATGGGCTGATACGAGAGTTATTGCGTGTTATATGTACTGTGTATTTAATTTTGTATTTTTTTAATTTCTTCAAACCTACTAAATAGTTATAATAAAAAATGCAATATATATATATATACACACAAAATCTAAACTATCAAAATTAAAGTATTCATGAATCGCAAATAAACGAGACTTTGATGGGTCTGAATAGTTTAAATAATTAGGCTATACTAAGGTCTTAATATTTATTTAATGTTTTATAATAAAAAAAGTGACAAATTATTTTTATTTAATCAACTTTCATTACTAAATATTGTCATCTATTATTCTTAACTATATCATTTACAATTATTAAAATTACTATCACAAATCAGTTAGTCATCACGATTACGATATCACACACCACTGTTATATATCACCATTTGTCATCATCGTCGTCAATTATAATTATCAGTTTTTATTGTTAAGTTATCACTATTTTTAATAAATAATATCATTTTCAATCGACGAAGCACAATAAACAGACATGTATAATTATATTACTTTAATTTAAAAACAAGTTTTATGTGTATTTAGAATTTGGTGAAACAAGTTTGGCTTAATTATTTAGTATCTAGAGTTTAATACAACATTTTAACTTTTAAATTCATATTTCTAAAATTGTGTACACATCTTTACTATTTAGATGTGTATTTAAATGTTTGATTTTTCTTTTTACTAACAAGTATTATAAACAAGGCTTTTGCAATAATATAAATGAAAAGAGGAGTCGAAATAAAAAGACATAATAGATAGATATACACTTTAATTTGATTTTAAATTACATTTATATCCTTTAATTTCGAGTGTGCACAATAGACACTTAAATTTGTATAAAGTTGAACAAATATACACGCGTGTGCGACATAGCATCTTACATGTAATTTTTTGTCTTACTTGATGTCCTACGTGTGATGTGTCACGTATGACTCATGTGTCTTCTTTTCAAATTTATACAAGTTTAATTAATTACTTACTTGTATATATCCAAAATTAAAGGGCATAAATATGTATTATGGCAAATAAAAATTATACTTGTCACCATTATTAGAAAATATTGCTCTTTTAAATGGGGTAAATATGATTGCATCAAGCTTAAAAGTTGGGTATTCTATATTAGCTCGGGTAGACTAAAAACTGACAAGCGTTGCACCTTGAACTTAAGAATTGAGTATGATGTATCAGTGTATTGTCATGATCATATATTAGCTCAATTTTAAGGCGAAACAAAATATTTCTTAGGGCAAAAGAACATATCATTCTCTCGACTTGGACCCAAAAATTAGAACATACCTTCAGGAAAGGAGTTATTGGAATTAAATCAAATTCAATTAGTAGTTGATAATAAAATAAACAACAAATTAAATATTCAAGTAAAACTAATAAAGAGAACTAGAAAATAGTTTTTTTAATTAATAATCTAGTTGATCAACAGCAAATAATATGTCTGTGGTTATCGACATAATGAAATGAAATTTTTAATGTTTCAGAATTAGATGACGTTGAAATGACGATTGTATGGGGACCTTGAATTTTTATGTAAATTGTCACTATCTGATTCAATTTTTGACTATATTAACTCATAAATTATAAATTTCTTCTGCGTTTATCATGTATCTGGTCAAATAATATTCAATTATTCATTTTGGTTCATTAATAACAAATACAATCAATCAAAATATATATATATATATATATATATATATATATATATATATATATATATATATATATATATATATATATAATTTACTAAACTATCCCTATTTAGTAAATATTTTTTGAGGACTGAATAACATTAAAAAGATGAAGGATAAGGAATTGTTTGGTACACATAAAATGAGATAAAATGAATATATGAAAATTGAACTCGAGATATTTCATTTTGTTCCGCATATCAAACAACTTCTAAGGGTATAAATGGAAAAAAATATACTTATAACTTTTTTTGTCTTAAATTTTGAAGGTGATATGAATTTTGAAACAAATTTTTTAATGGTCAAAATGACACTTATTTTGACGCGGAAGGACTAAATATAAAATTTATTGAAAAACTTCTTAAATAAACAAATATACTCTTATTTATTGTATCTTTAAAAAAAAAAAACATTATCAGAGAGAAAACTGCAAAATAGATGAATTTTTTTGAAGCTGATGATCTGAAGCATTTCGGTTAAAGTTTCATTCTTTTTCTCCATAATGGAAGGTACTAAATTCTTCTCTCTCTGGTTAGTTGAAACCCTTTAATTTTTGTGTACTGTTTGACTTTGGGTTTAGTTTTTTTGACTGAAAATGGACTTCATGTTGTTGAAGTAACAAATGTCAATCTCTGTTTTTTTATTTATTCTTTTTTTTTTGGTGATTTTTTTGATGGTTAATGGTTGGTAATCTCTTGTATTTTTAGTTTGTGGAAATGGGTTTGGACTGAATGTTTTTTTTTTTTGTGAGGAAGGAATAAAAGTTGCATCTTGGAATCGGGATATTTCTGATTTTTTGTGATGGTTAACGGTTGGTGGTTGTTATTTTTATGAGTTCTCTGATTTTGGGTTTCTGGGGTTTAATGAATAGAGTCCCTGCGTGGAGGGAGCTGAGTTTTTCTGCCTCTCTATACGTGTAAGGCAGCGGTAAGGTCTGCGTACCCTCTAAGCTATCCATAATCCACTTGTAGGATTCATTGGGTATTTTGTTGTTGTAGACTCCATGTAGGAAAGGAACAAAAGCTTATTTTTGAATTGGGATCTTTTGAACCTCATGGCAAGCCGGCTTGAGTCCCACGTTGGTTTTAATGAGGTGCTGATGCGGGGCTTGTAAGCTTTGGGTTCACCCACCTTAATAACTAGCTTTTGAACGTCATAGCAAGGTATGAGACTTGAGTCCCACGTCGGTTTTAATGGGGTGCTGATGTGGGGCTTATAAGCCTTGGGCTCTCACACCTTAATAACTAGCTTTTGAACCTCATAGCAAGATATGAGACTTGAGTACCACGTCGGTTAATGGGGTGTTGATGTGGGGTTAATATAGCCTTGGGATCTCCCACCTTAATAGCTATCTTTTGGGGGAGTGGTTCTCGCCCTTCATGCTCAGCGTGCCTTGGACAGTGATGCTGATATTGTATTGCTGACTCGGGGCTAGAAATGATCGACGGCTGCATAGCATGGTGGTTTGTTAAGATCTTATTGCAATGCATGGGACTTAAGTTCCCTTGTCTGTTTAATGGGGAGTTGATACGGGGCTTATATAGCCTTGTGCCCTCCCACCTTAATAACTAGCTTTTGTTGGGTAATAATTGGTGTCTTTTGTAGCTTTACAGTGGTATGGTACAGAAATTATGGTTAGATCCACTTTTTGAAAGAGAAATTATATCGTGACCATTGTCTGAAGATGAGTTTTCATCTTACTCTCAGAGTATGTAGCTCTTGGAACTTTTTTTGCTTCAGAAAAAGGAGAAATTTGTTGAATTGTTCTTCTGGAAAAAGGAGCGCAGTGATTACAGAGAATTTGTGAAACAGACCCAATTAAAATTTTCTCCTCCCACTGTCCTGACCCTAGTCATGGTTCCATCCTACGTCCTCAATCGTCTTAGTGTACGCCACAAGTACACCTTTAGTCTCCAATCATCTCCATAGAACCTCCTTTGGGGCTACTCCACGAGTCTCACAAGGTGAATGACTTTTGTAGTTGATAAACCCCACATGAATCCGAACTGGTTCCTCAAAAATAGGCACACCCCTTCTCACCCTCATATAACACCACCCTCTCTCACACTTTCATAGTATGGCTTAGCAGCTTGATACTCATATTATTTACTTCATGCTGAAATAAGTAATTTTAGTTGATGTAATTGAATTTTTTAGCCTTCTCATTGTTTTGTGCTTTTCATCTTTAATATTGATGTTTTTGCTTTAGACTTTTTTTTGTTTGAATGAATAATTGATAATTGTTCATATTTTTGTCTGTTCAATAACATCTCTTGCATTCGTAACTATAATAACCTTCTTTGTCTCTTATTGAAATTGAGCCTATTATTGTCTTGAAACAGGCAAGGAGTGTGTATAGTATAAATTATATCGAATGCATCGACTTTTTAAGTATTGTTAGTAGATTCTTATCAGTAAAATCCTGTAAATAGGCTATACCATCAGCTTCTGATTATTTGCACTAAATTGACAGGTGGATCCCCAGATCGAGAATCCGTGGAATCTGGGACAAAAAAATCTAGTATTTCTTCAGGTGGGAGAGTCCAAGATCGCAAAGAATTTCTCCGTAGGTTTGTAGATAGCAAAAGCCTGATTGAAAACCTTAAGACATGGTATGAAGAGTTACGAGAGGAACCTCCCTTTGATGTTCCTTTTGAATTGATAGATCTTCAAAAGTTTGATTATGCTTTGGAAGGAGTTCCATTTCAGCAGCTGATTCGAATGCCTAGAGCGATCTATGACTCGGCTTCTGGTGCTGTAGAAGCAACTGCTTATCTTGCCCTTGAAGATTTCCTACATGCAAGTGTGAAGAGTTTATGGGAGTCATTTTGGGGTCAGGATGAACCTCT